ATTTTCTATATCCATTCTTTTTTAATTCTCCTCACCAAAATTCAATTACCATGTAATAAATTCTTCTAAGAGTTCTTAATAAAACCTAGGCTCTGATACCATTTTATATGGGGTGGTACTCCGGGAATAAAGTCAGGTACAATATAGAAAGACATTTGGTACTCCATGTAAATTTATAACACAAGATACTATTTTGAAAGCCCCTGGTACTATACTGAATAAAAACTGGTACTTTTCTTTTAAAAACAGGTATCGGGACAGAGATGTAATTTAAACCTTAGAGGGGACCATAAAGTTGTTGACTAGGGAGTTGAATGGAAAAAATTTTCACTAGGGACTGAATGAGAAGATGAATTTAGGATTGGGGATTTATCTATACATTTCCCTTATTTAGAATCTCTAGCTAAAATATAAAGAAAAAAATGTAACCTCTTTTATACTGACTTACCATAAGCGTAGCATAATGTGGCCGCTTTATACACGAGTGAATACGTGGATAGAGCAACTTTAATAATGTTAGGCTCAGATGCGCAAATTCAGAAGATGTAAATAAAAACACCGACGTAAAATGATGAATAAAAATTTTAATCTCAACAATTCAAAAATGACAAAAGAAATTTCTTGCAATAAAACAGAAATAATTGTTTTATAATATAGAAGATCAGATTAAACTGCGGTCACAAAGCATACTAAGAATATCTCTAATCAATAAAATATGCAAGAAAAAGGACACCGAGATTTTACGTGGAAAAACCTCCAATGCGGAGGAAAAACCACGGGACAACCTCCGAACAATTCCACTATATTTCAAAATAATTACATTATCTTTTTCACACTCTCCTACACTAGAAATGTAAAATTTAGTGACCCAGTGAGACCCCACTCCTATTCAAATTTTACAAACAAGGAGTAATAGAGATGATACCCAACCTGGTGTATTATTTCCGACACTCACAGGATGTACTCAAACACTCTATTTTCTCTAACTGAAAAAATCTCACATACACACAAAAACTGAATGTTGTTTCTGTTTATTTATTTTTGTTCTCACTTTGGTGCACTTTTTCAGCACTTGGTTTAGTGCTATTTATAAAAGAGAAATACTCCACTTTGTCAAAAAATGGCAGCTTGCACAACCATAAACTACGGCTCATTTAATGACAATTTATGAAAATATTGCTGGTCAACAACGTTGGCTGGATGCTGACAATTCTCCCCCTCCAGCCAAAGGGAAATATTCTTCAAATCTTCACATGCAAACCATGTCGATTATCTCGGCACAAAACCGAAGATTTTCCCCTGTTACAACTTTTGTCATCATGTCAGCAGAGTTTTCGTTAGTGTGAATCTTTTCCAACTTACATTGTTGTTCTTCCACTGCTTGACGTAGCCAATGATATCTGACATCAATGTTCTTCCTGCGAGAGTGGTACATCGCATTCTTACTTAAATCCACTGCGCTCTGACTATCGCAATGGATATTGTACATTTCCTGCTTCATCCCCAATTGTTGAAGAAACCTCTTTAACCAACGCATTTCTTTTCCTACTTCTGTTATTGCAATATATTCGACAGCAGTAGTCGACAAGACAACAGATTTCTGCAATTTAGATTGCCAAGATATAGGTCCTCCTGCAAATGCAAACACAAGCCCTGGAGTAGATTTTCTACAATCAAGGTCACCTGCCATATCTGCATATGTATAACCTTCAAGAACTGGGTTTCTTTTGCCGAAGCTCAAGCACTTATTTGAACTACCTTGTAGATACCTCATGATGCACTTCACAGCTTCCCAATGTTCCTTCCCAGGATTGGAAAGATACATGCTAACAATTCTAACTGCGTGAGTGATATCTGGTCTTGTACAAACCATGACATACATCAAACTCCCGACTGCCGAGGAGTATGGAACATCCGCCATAGCTTCTTTTTCTTCTTGACTCGTAGGACAACTTCGTTTATTGAGTTTGAAGTGATTGACTAACGTTATATTGATCGGCTTAGATGTTTTCATGTTGAATCTCTCCAGAATTCGATTCACATACCGTCCTTGCGATAACTATAACCTCTTGGATTTTTGGTTTCGTATGACCTGCATACCCAAAATTTGTTTCGCAGGGCCCAGATCCTTCATATCAAAGGACTTTGCTAAATCCTTCTTCAAATCACCAGTCAGCTTCATATCCCATCCCATTATCAACATATCATATACATATAACGAAAGGATAATGATTTTATCACCTGGAAATTTCTTAACAAACACATAATGATCTGGATCAGTCTTGGTATATCCATGACTAGACATGAACGAGTCAAATTTCTTATACCACTGTCTTGGAGCTTGTTTCAGTCCATACAAACTCTTCTTCAATTTGCAAACCATGTTCTCCTTTACAGTCCTATCAAATCCTTCTGGTTGCTCCATGTAGATGTCTTCATCTAGGTCTCCATGAAGAAATGTAGTCTTCACATCTAGTTGTTCAAGTTCTAGATCCAAGCTAGCCACAAATCCAAGTATTACTTGATTAGAGCTCATCTTTAAAACTGGGGAGAAGATCTCATCAAAATCTATTCATCGCTTTTGTCCAATTTCTTTCACGACTAAACGAGCCTTGTACTTCAACAACTTGTCACCATCTTTCTTAAGCTTGAACACCCATTTTTTTTTTCAAGGATTTCCTGCCTTCTAGAAGCTTCACAAGCTCATAAGTTTTGTTTTTCACCAGTGAATCCATTTCTTCTTGCATGGCTTTTCTCCACTGAGATTTATCCTTAGGGTTTGTACTTCTTCAAAGCTTTCTGGCTCCCCTTCTTCAGTGATGTTAATATACGTGGAACTAGGGTATCTGTGGATGGTTGGATCGCTCGATTTGATCTCCTGAGCTGAGGTGGAGCTTCGAGGTCTTTTTGCTCGACACCTTCACCATCACCATATTCTATTGATGGCTCATCATCAACCCTGAGTTCTCCATCACACTTTCTCCTACTGTGGAATCTCTAGGAAGTTTAACATGTGAAAGATTCAACTTGCCACCTGGTTCTCTAGTGTCCGGTGAATCAAAGTCGAACATAGTTTCTTGCTCATGGAACACTACATCTCTGCTTCAGATAATTTTTCGATTTGTCCCATAACCTGTAGCCAAATTCCTCATCTCCATATCCTAGAAATATACACGGAATGGCTCTGTCATCAAGTTTTCGTCTATGTTCCTTGCTTACGTGAACAAAAGTTTTGCATCCAAACACCTTTAAATGAGAGTATTTAACATCATGCCGGGTCCATGGGTCCACACAGCTTCAGCCCGACGAGCGATGTCCAGGTTTTGGCCTGCTCGAGCAGGAGCCCTGCAACCCAGCAAAGAAGCCCACACCTTGCAGTCCAGGAGAAAGCCTGCATCGCACTCGGCCCAGTTCGCTTAGCCCACTTCGCGCGTCCCAATAACTCCTCGCAGCCTAGGAGAAAGGAAAAGCGCGGGCCGCGGCCTGCCCGCACGGCCCGCTTCATCTACGGATTGTTGCGACCTGTGCACAGCCCGCGCCTGGCACAGCCCCCAGCCCTGACCCGCAAGCAGTCCGCGAATGGCCCACTTGCCAGCTGCCCTTCCCAGCACTTGGCGAGGCCCCAAGAAAAATATCCACTGCCCAGACCCTCAATACGGCCCATTTGGTGTCCTCACGCACCCCAGCGTGGCCCGGACCGGTCCAGATGGTTCAGGAGTGGTCCAAACCCGTCCACTCGATCCGGCACCTAAGTTCGAGCCCAAAACTAATTCGGGATGATTCGACGCAGACGTAATATGTTGGGAAGTAAGTCGTATTATATTTCACCCTGTATGTGTGTGATCCGCACCACAACTGGATATTTACAAGTCTAGTCCGACTTTTGACCCTGTTTTTTTTACAACATAATAGCATATATGTTAGATATTGTTATTGTGGTTGGGGAAAAGAACATGATGAAACGCGTGCGAATCTCAAACATAATTTCAAAGGAGAACCTTAAAACACTCGAGTTTCTATGTGCAAAACATTCAAACGAAAATTTTCACACAAAAGATGAGATGAATTAACAGTCAACTTTTGAACAAGAGTCGCGGTTCAAAATATAACCTATGGTTTGTGAAATTCATGTAAAGAATTTCTAGTTTTCATCATGTGGTAAAAGACACAAAGATGAACCAACATTTTTCATGAATCCTTTTCCATGCTCTCAATTAGTTGCGATTGAACTTCAATGCTTAGCATGACTGACAGGAATTAAGATTTTTCAAATCCGATAAAGGATTTGTGGATTTTTTGTACCTTAATGCAAAAGGAGGGGCAAGAAAACTCTTGGGAAAGATGGTGCCAATTAAGTACCAGAAAGATTACACAAATGTGCAAAACCCCCTAACTACAAATACATGAGAAATTGAAGAGACTAAACAAAATCTGAAATTCATCGATCCCCCACCAATCGAAGTCTCGCCATTTGACTTAATATCCATATTGTGTATACAACTATACAAGGGAAAAAAAACACTAGATAATGGCTAAATTAACTCACTTATTCATTGGAATCAAGTAAAAGTCCAGTGAGTAAGGCAATGGAACAAAGTAGATGTTGTCACCAGTCCTTCCTCTATCAACATTTGTGCTGGAGAACCATGAACAAAGTAAAGGCTTCTGATTGTTATTTACAGATATGAATTGCTCAATATTCTCGAATGCTTGAACAACTTCTTTAAATTTTTAATGCTCAAGCAGCTGGAGGCCTGAGTTGATGATCTTGAGAAGTGTCCTGTGTAGATGGGGGTAAATAATGCCACATCGGGACAAACCCATAGCTAGGGATCATCTGCATCTTTTTAGCCTCAACCTGAAATACGGGTGAATTTCCCGGCATGAATCCTGTAGGAGGCACAAACGTGCTTTTCAAATGCTGCTCCATCCTTTCTTTATCTGCCTTAAGCATCAATTTTTCTTCACGAAGCTCAATTTTCTCAGCCTATTTCAGAAAATAAATAAGTGAACTTTATATGCACTATGCCTCCTGCAAAACAAAAGACAACATAAATATCAGCCAAACCTTTAGGTTTTTTATCTCCTCCGAAAGCTTTCTGTTCATTTCGACATACTTGTGGGATTCAGCTTTCAGCTGCTTTAGAGCCCTAATTGCATCACCCAATATCGCCAACTTTTCTACTTTCACGGGTTTTCCAGGTTCCAAGACAGCCGATAATTCCAAGAACCTTATCAAGAACAAGAAAGACGGCTCAATGCATCCGACTTTACAATGAAAGATCTACCAATTTCAAATAACCTGGCTTAAAACTGGCTTTGGACATCCTTAAAAAAAGTAAAAAACAAAAATAAACGAAATTCTACCTGTCATTCAACTTTTCTCGTCTCATTCTCTCCCGGCTAGCTTTGGCCCCCATTCTAACATATGGATTACCACGTCCCCTACAGAACACAAAGCGACAGTGAAAAGGAAAATAATAAGTAACTATAAAATAACAATAGTTCATGACGATCGATTGATCTATGCTCCGAGGAAGAAACCAAGTATAGACTGAATTTTTTTATCTTCACATTCTTCTTTCCTTTTCGTTTAGCTTCGTCTGGAAACCACAAGTGTAACTAGAAGCACAACTGATTATTCATTTGGTTCCACCATCTAAGCTTGGCCTTATTAGAAAGAACAATCAATCAATCAATCAACAAGCCGTCAACAAAATCCCATATGGATCACATGTGTGCTCGATCAAAACACATATCCTCATTCAAATTTAAATATTCTAAATCACTTTTAATTGGCGATTATTTAGAGAACAAAACACAGAAAAAAATAAAACGCTTAAATCTTGGAGATTATTTACGGCTCTCTGACCTCTTGCTCGGTCCTTCTCTTTCTGCAGAATCACTTCCTTGCTGCGATGTAATTACATCCACTGCCACACCGCCACTGCAATAAGTAAACATCATCGGACACATCAAACAGCTTCACGAAGACGTTTACATAGTTCAAGGTTTCATATGAAATACTTTTGCAAATTAAGATAAATTCAAACGCACGGAATACAAAAGAACAAAAAATAAATAAGAGATTAAAACAGTTTTGGCACTCACTTGTCAGAATGCAGCTGAGGATTGAGTTTATCCGGCAGCGATGCGACGTCGTCTAACTCTAAGAGGGTGCTGTAATCAACCACATCGCACCAGCAATTCTCCCCCAGTGAATCTACGTGACTTTTATCCATTCTCATTCAAAACCCACTGTCTTTACTCTTTAAAAAAAATGGTGGATTTTGATTTTGATTTCGAACGATGATGCAAAGGACTGATTAGTGATTACAGATGAATGGTTTGGGGAAGAGAGGAGAACTAGAAAAGGAGAAATGACATTGACAACATCGTCAATTATTGGGTTTAGTCAACTTCTTGGCCAATATTTTAAAACTATGACAAATGATGAAGACGAGACCGTTATTGCGTATTTGAATAAATATGACCGTCTCTGGGTTTAGTCGGTTTCATTTTATCTTTATTATTCGAACGCTTTTATTTTATTTCATTTAGTTAATTAGTACTTTGGGTAGGAAAATAATTATCTTGCAGTTGTGAGGCAAGATTAGGAATATTTATTTCTCTTTGTTATGTATATGTTATTGGGACGATGAGAAAGATCAGTTTGTGACGATTGAATAAAATTATGTGTGTTCCTTTGAGAGTATCTCATCTTCTTCCCTAATTGTACTATGCTCTACATCAGTTGGTATCAGGAGACCAGCAGCGATCCACGATGCCGCCAAAGCGAAACGACAACATCATTGAAGAACGATTCCAGAGAATGGGAGATCGATTTCAAGGGATGGATGAACGTTTTACCGACATCAACACCGGAATCGAGGAATTGCAACAGGCGATGTGTACCCTGATGACGGAGGTTCGTACGAGCCGCGACGCCGACTGGGGCGGACGCGGAGCGTTTCGCGGGGGTAGAGGAGGTCGTGGGTTTGGCGGGGCGCCCCGCCGGCAGCCAACCCCACCTCTGTCTGGTGACGAGGACGAGGAGACGTGGAGCGGGGAGAACCCGTTTGCGACTGCTCATACTCGCAGGCCCTGCTATGGACGATAGGAGGCGTGACACTAGGGTTTATGGTAGGGACAGGTTCGATGAGGATGACAGTGGTGATGACCACGATGGCAGGTTTGGTGATTTTCACGATGGACGTGTCGAACACCCGAGGCGCGCGATTTCACGCGGGGGTACCGACTCGGATGTCGAGGATGAGGGGCTGCACCGTCGTGGCTGGGCTGGTCGTGAGGGGGACTATCAGTGGCGACCAGCTTATGGGGACTTTGAAGGCGTTGAGCGATTTGGGCCTCACAGGCGTGACGGCAGGCGTCCGATATAAGGGGGGCGATGAGTCACG